AAATTCCAGTGAAATATATTTATGTTTGTGGTTGTAATGTGACAAAATATGGAAAAGTTCAAGGGGTATGAATACTTTTGCAAACCACTGTAAGTAAAAATATTTATCCAAGTATAGTACTACCCCCCAACTTTATGGATGATTTTATGGATTTAATGATTTTATGGATTTAATTTTACGTATTATACTTGAATAAATACGGTAGATACCGTGAGACAAATAATTAATTTTTTCATCGGATGGTTATGGGAGCGACCGAGAAGACGTTCTTATTGGAATTCTGCTGTGTCACCTCTGCAAAATGGAATTCTGCGTGAGCGGAGGAGATTGGGCAAATCAGTTCATCTCAGAAACCTGGAAAGCAATGTCTGATGGAGAAATATGTTTAAAAAAAATAAAGAAGAGAGGGAGTGTTTGAGAAAGTGAAAAAGGTTAAAGGACAACYCAGTCACACTCGAGACAGAAGAGAGGACCGCGTGAGTGGAGAAAGAGAGTAAACAAGAGAGTGCAAGAGGGGAATGGGGGGTAAAGTGAAGAGCAAAGACGAGAGAGAGCGACGGGGTGATAGCTCTTTTACAGTTTCCAATTAAATGTCTCATTTACCCCCTAATTCTTCTTATTCAGAGCAGCGTTTGTTCAGATTTGCAGCGGCAGGACTGTAATTTCAGCGTGGTAATGAAGAAGCAATGCCTCTGCCTTTGCATGCGGTACTGTTTAGGGATGATAATGGGCATCATTTCGATGAGATAATTTCTCCAAGTAAAAATGCCTCCCTGAATTAATGTCTAGGAAAGTGATATAAGTGATTGCTATACACTGGTTTAATGTCTAGGTGTTTGGCTCGCGGCGATAACGGCTTCGGATGATTTGGCAGGCCTGCAGCTGATTTGATTGGGGCAAATGTGTGTGCGCGTGGGTTTGCATGTGTGTGTGTGTGTGTGTGTGTGGCAGGTGAACAAGCATATGTAGCCATTTACCTTACTGAGCAGGCGATCACTGACGCTGCGGGCGAGTTGCTGAGTCTCTGCAATCTGGTCGGCGACTCGTTTCTGTTCATTCAGCTTCTCAGCCAGCGTCTCCAGCTCGGTGAGGGCGAGCTGGAGGGGGAGGCGATCCACGTGGCCCTTTGGCGTGTTCTTTAACATGTCCTGAAAAAAAAATGTCACGAGGAAAGCGGCAGCTCAGTTTCACAACTGTCCAAGCACTCTTTCCTGTTCAGCTCGTTAGTGGACCTTGTTAGTGAGTCCCAGTTCTGACGAGAAGTCCTGCTCCACAGGTTTACAGGATTTATTTCTAAGTTTCATTTTTTTGGGATGCAAAAGGGATGCGCTGTCTTTCATTTTAGGACTTTTGATGGCAAATAATCATTGTGAAGTAAAACAGTCTGAGCCATAATCTGTTGACGTTCAAATAGTTTCTACAGATACTTTTGGTTTCCATAATGTGTGAAGTTCTCTGGAAAATTTGGCAGAGAAGACAAGCGTTTCAAAAATAACTTAGCAGATATTTGGCCATTTGTCATTTGAAACAAACTATCTGCTGTTGGACAAAGTTTAATTTGAGACAAAGTCTGCCTGCACGGCTACAACTGGTATTTTGGTATAAGTGACAAATGATTTAGAGAAGAAGCAGGACATGTTTGCTCTCGAGAAGTAACAGAACAGTACAAAATCTGTGATTTAAACGGAAGAAATTAGGCTTTTAATAAAAAAAAAACATGAGTATCCTAAATTAAAGACAGTTTACTCCCACAAACTCCTTTTGGGTGCTAACAATGTTAAAAATCTGATTTCCACTGGAAGAGTTGTTGGATGAGTTCTCTGGTTATTAAATAATATAAAACTCTCTTTCTTTAGGATTTCATCATTTCCTCCATGTTTGCCAGCATTCTGAATCCTATCAAAAAATAATGTGCTTAAAGTCGTCACCTTTAGCCCAACCGCAGGTCAGATATAGTTTAATAGTTTGTGCATCCCTTTTTATCCTGTAAACTGTGTAACTTTAAGGAGATTCTGGAACTGTTCTGTTGCGAGTCTGTATTTGTCCTGCATCCCTGACCCTGTGAAAAAAACCCGCTCCRGTCTTGAGAAGCATCTCAAATGTAGCTTGTTGCCTGCAGATTTTACTTCTCTGTAATGTCTGATTAAATGGAGGCACTTCCTCCTTGGAGTATTGAGTTTGGGCTGGAAGAAAATGCCTGATTCGTATTCATAACTTATCTTTCYAATTCATGGATAATCAATGCCTACTGAGGGATGAAATGAGCTACTGCAGACACAGCAAGTCGAGCTCAAATCCAAATCTTTCTCACCCAAAAAAAAGAGAAAGAAAGAAAAAAAAAAGAAACAGAAGTTTGGATAAAAATCCACAAAAAGGGCTGTTGATGCCAGCTYCCTTTGAAGCTCTGTTTGTAATCGAGGAAGTTTAACACCCAATCAGTTCTGCGGCCTCGCACTTTAACTATTTCTCACGTTTGAAATGCAAGGAAAAAAACGTTTGGAAAATGTYCACGAATAGAAGCAAATTTTGATTCCTTTTTACCTGCAAGAGCAAAATGAACTGTGGGAATCGTTGAATGGGCTTCACCATGAGCCCGTACAGAGTGATCCGGTCCATGCTGGAGGCCTGCTTCTTCTGGAAGCAAAAAATAAAAAATAAAAAAATACAGAAAAATTAAAACAAACAGGATATGCAACATGTGGTTAAAAAGATTCTGTTCTGGGATGAATATTAAGAAACACAGAAAGGGCATGAATCCCTTCAGACCGCATGTAGGTGTGTGAGTGGGTGAAGAAGGTCTGGGTGTGATGTAAGACCATAAAAGAGTTGTTTTCTTTTCTCCCCAAGTGACTGACATTGCTGGATTACTGTGAGTGCAGGTCAGGAAGAGAAACCATTTCTGTTCAAGGTGAAGTCTGAGCTGTGAAGAAAGTATGTAAAAGCATATCTGGAGGCTAAGAAMTAATCTTTAAGAAGTAATCAAGAGGTTGACTTACAGAAACTATGAAAAAGAAATGTATTAAACAAAATCATCCCACTTTGATCCAAGGACATGTTAACAGTACAAAGCCTTATATATATTATTTTCTTTTGATATTAATAGTTAAACCTGTTTTTTTGTTTGTTTTGTTTGTTGTTTTTTTTTTTGGTAAAAATAAAATAAAATATAAACTATTGTAAAGGCCAACATGAGAGAATCAGAATCAGCTTTATTGTCATTCACACACAACATCAAAAATGCAATGCAGAATGAAATTTGCAGTTTAGAACAACCGTTCAGAGAAAGACACACATAACAAACATGAGGGAACGAATGCAGAGGTCTTGCGCAACGGGTCGCGCCACCTTTTGCAGCTTGGGAAACAAAAAAAAAAAAACAATAGGAGAGGTGAGTTTAAAAAAGATGTTCAGATCCTGCGTTTACTCATAAACAGAGAATCATATGCACAAAAAAAACACTCGCTGAGTGCAAGGCAGCTGGGTGGTGGTGGGGGTCAAATATGTGGTACGGGGTGGGATGCAGCGGAGCCGGTGACATTTCAGGTTAATACTCTATGTTGGAACCAATCAAAGAACCCCAGAGTGCAAAACAAGTTCTTATCAACTCAAGCTCAGTTCACCAGAGTTCAGTTCTCAGTCACCACCGTGGCCTTCGGACTGATCCACCCACGGATGATACGGGGAAGGGAATGGGTGAATCAAGCCTTTGTTTCACGTGTCATCCAGGGATGTTTGATAACTGCCGAGCGCCAAGGTCAGCAGCTGCAGGGATCCGAAAGATAAACATAATTGTTTTGGGACAAGCAGCCTTGGGTTTACTGCTGCTTTAAACTCTGTAACTGCATCTCTGTAATGGCGAAAAAATGGCGAATGTTTCGAATTTCATCACCTCATRGCCTCTTTTTCCATCTGAAACTTCACCCAGGTTTAATCCTACTTCCTCACGGGCACGCTGCTGAACTGTGATTCTCGTCAGAATCCCATCCAGTTTGCGACTTATATCCCCCAGCATCTGAGTCTGTGTGTTTCCAGTACGGGAGATTCCGTCCAAGGTTTCTGACAGCTTCTCACAGGCCCAGACTGCTGTCAGGATTGCTTTTATTTTCCGATAAGCAGGAACTCCTCCACAGCCGATCAGCAGGAATCCAGTTATTATAAATCCAAATATGTACAAATCTTCCACGTCTTTAATGGAAAGTGGTGCCAAATGAATCAGGTTCACCCCCAAGAACCAGCGACCCGACCAACTGCTACCATTCCACTGGGACAGCTGTGCTCCCATCGCACCAATCTCAGTGTGGAAAAAATAGTGTCGATTGCATTCAGAGACCAGTTGACCAGATCCATAATTCCTTCTGTTTTTGGATGATGGTAGAAGAAAAGTTTGAAAAAGCTGCGAAGCAGGAAGGAGGGACAGGCTCGGGAGAGAGAGCAAAAGCGTCCGACTCCTCTGAAGGCCAAGCAGAAAAAAATAATAAAAAATAAAAATGAAAAACATTTATGTATTATAGTAGAAAGCATTTTTTGGGAAATAACTCTTAATGATTCTGTTTTAATCCAGGAAATGGGTTGCATGCAATTCACTCATGTAAAACATGAGAAGTGACTTATTGGATCGAGTTGACCAAAGTTTTGTTTGTGCTTAACAATAGCTGAGAAAAAGGGAATGTCTTGTTGTGCCAATGTTAATGCAGTTTGAGGGTCAGAAAAACAGGGTTTTGATGACGCAATAATCGCACATAAATAGGTCTTGGAAACTGTAAGACTTTGGGTTTTTTAGGTATGAAGACTTCCAGTAAAGCCTTGATTTGCTGTCACTTTGGAGTTGAGTCTTTTATCTTTTATCTTTTTTTTTGCTTAATGGTTCAAGTTTTTAATGAAGAAAATGCCACTTCATTAGCAATTATTTAATTACTTTTAATTTGCAGAAAGAACGAGCAGCAGCAAGGAAATATAAATACTGGTAAAGTAAAAAAATAAATCTTGCACAGACATTGCAAAGATTACTTTGTAACTGACAAAGATTTGATTCAACTTGGATTTTCGGCAGGTCAAAAGTTTGTACAAAAGGAAACATGATTCCCACAGGAGTTCCGCATGAGGATGAGCATGGTTTAAAAGTCAAAGAAACACAAAACCAGGAGAATCTGAACATGAGAAACAAGCAGATACACTAGAATATAGATTCAAGGAAAACGGCATCATCAAAACAGGATAAAAGCCGCCAGAGATGAGTTTATTTTTGAATCAAGTCGAAAAAGTCGTGCCAAATAAAGAAAATAGTTTTTAAAAAATCAGCAATAAAAAGTCCCACAAGTTCCCTAAAATACGCAGAAACACATTCTGAGCTCTGATCCACTTCTTCAGAATGAATTTAAAGACGACCTCCAAACCTGAGACAAATGCTGATGAAATCTGACCTAATTCCTGTCAGAAACTCTGCATTCTTTGTTTATAAGAACAGTTTATGTAGGAGAACGAAACAAACCCTCATGGGATCAACAGCATCCGTCTAGCCATCATTTACCTGCTGACTGTCGTACAAGGTGACACAATTCCCTAGATGAAACATTTTTTTGTATTGTACACAATATATTGTTTTCAATTATGTAGTCTTTTTTTGTGTGTGTGTTTTAATTTTTTTTATTTTTATTACTTTAGTTTAAAAAATTTTTGTCTGTTAGCAAAACATCTCATGATCCAGTACATGTTTTGTTGAAGAAATGCTCAGAAATATCTTTGTATGCACTTCTACATCTCAATAACTTTTAGAGTTAACTATGTTCCAAAACATATTCAAAATGGCTTGGATATCGAGCTCAAATTTGGGTGTAGCTGATAGTCCCAAACATATTTCTGAGCACTAACAGATTTTGTGAGATATTTATTTAAAGAGGAACATACCCCAAAATCAACCTTTTTTGCAGATAAACTGTCTAAACGGTGCCTTAAGGGGTAATACRTTTCTATTTATGACTAAAATTCAACATTTTGGTCTAAAATTGTTTAAATCTACAACATTGTGTCTAAAAACATTTTTGTGCTGCTCTCTTTGGGTTTATCTATGGCTACTAAATTTGAATTTCATTATTCGTTCAAAAAGTACTTTGGTTCGCAAGACACGTTTTTAGTTTGATGTTTGTTTCAACTAAATTTCAGCTACCCTTTTGACTAYCATTTAGCTCATTTTTGGCTTTGGCTTCTTTTAGCTTGAACCCAGTTTCAGCTTTCTCAGCAAACTTCAGAAAAATAATTTAAATGTCAGCACTCGCAATGGCTTAATGCAGAAAATATCTTTCCTTTTGTGCCTGTCATTTCCTTTTAAATATAATCAGATAAATACTCAATGTCCCATTTTAGTTAGTGGGCCACAATCAGAAATAATAAAACAATGAGGCGTCGCTACATTCAACGTGGGTCAACTGATTTTATTCAGTAATAAAAAAAGGAAATTACAAGAAAAATTGGGTTGATGTGATGTTACCAAAACAAGGTTTCTGACCTTCTCATATTAAAGCTACATCTTGCTGTGATACAAAAAATAAAAATAAAAATAAATTATAATCAGAAATACTCAACTTTGTTCTTTGAAAAAATTTCTGGTTATGTCACTGACCCTGCTGAGCAAAATCGCATTCGTTGCCAGGCAACCTTACAGAAAGTGCAAGAAACTTCAGCTTTTATCAGCTCGCTGCAATTGATGGAATTGTACTGTTGCTAATTTAATGAAGTAATATGTTTTACTTTCCCAGCTGGTTCTGGCTGTAGGCACATCTACATCTACTGATGTCAAAGGAAAGAGGAAATGGACATCTCAAACAAGTTTAGTTATAACTCATTCTATCCAAACATCCGTTAACTATATAGGAAACAAAAACTTAAAATTACAACTTCTATAAATTATCTGCTTCAATACATGTACTTAGTGCATCCCTGGATTCTTGAGGAGGCGGGGTTTAGAGGACAGGAAGTTGTAAAATATAGCTCTTCACACTATTTTCTGCAAAAGTTTAAAGGGGCAATATTATGTGTTTCTCAGGCATATACTTAAATTCTATACTATAATAAAGTAACTATGTCACCTTTAGTTGTTATTAAAATGCTGGTTTTAAGTTTAAATCAAAAATAAACTTGACCTCATCATATCTGTTTCTAAACGCCTTGAAATTGGCCTCTGTCTCTTTAAGAACCTCCTTCCGCTTCTGTCCCGCCCATTTCTGCCTGCAGGAGTCACAGGCGGGGTGTGTGGGGAAGGGTGTGTGTGTGTTCCATGTTGAGGAAGCCCGGTTCGGAGACACAGCCCAGAGGAGGAGCTGATCCCAAAAGGCGGTTCTAGTCCCAACTGTTCGTTTTTTCTCCCCTGCCTGTCTGCCTCAGGACACTACAGGATTTCTCAAACATGCATGAACGAGTCAAAGCAAAACTCTGGGCATGTTTTTGATGAGAGGATAACATTATAACATGTTTTAAAACTCAAAAAAGTTTATTTTACATGATATTGCCCCTTTAAAGTTCTAGATTTATTATCTAAAACACCATAACTTCTGCAACTTCTCAGCTGTGAGAGCAGCCATTGGTCGAAAAACTCTTAAGATTTCTTCTTCACTTTTTGCAATTAAATGTTTATTTTCTTTGCAAATGTTTTCAATAGAATTTACGTCAAGACTTGTTGCTTCTCAGCCATGCTTTTCTTCTGCTGGATGTGTGCTGCAGGTCAAAAAACCTGAAAAAATGCAAGGCCAACGCTTCAAACAGATTTTTTTAATTTAATTTTTATTTTTTTACACTGGGTAACAAATTACGCTCTAAAATAAAATAGGATTTGATTTCTCTGCTGATACAGTTAGTCCCCTCACAACCAGAAGCAGCAATGAATCTCCATGAGACAATGGAAGCTCCATTTTTTAATTACTTTACCTAGTTTCATTTTGTCCCAAATGAGCAAACGTGTGCACGTCTTCACAGAAACATGAAGCAATATCTGCAAAAGACCGCTGTGACTTCTGAGTGCCTAATAATAAAACATGACTTGAACATCACATGATCTAGCACCACTTCCTGTAAGCATCTTCATAGTTTAACTACAGCTAACTTGTCTTTGCAGATCTGTAATATGAACTCTAAACTGGAGCTGCAACATATTAGGAAAACCTGCAATGTTATTGTTTAATATTGAAATGACGACATCTACTGCAATAAAGCAACCTTTGGGCATCAAGACCAACAGAAGTCTGTCAGGTTTACCAGAAATACTTTTCACATGCAAAGCATGAATGATTACTACCTGAAATATGTTGGCCATTGATTTATTATAGACTAAGTGGTTATTTGCAATATTTGAGATTAAACATCTGCTTTAAATCCCTCATTTGATAGTTACTTCAAATCAAATGAACACRGAAAAAAAACAAAAACAAATGAATCCTATTTTAAATAGTTTGAAAATCAAAGTAGAGTTCAAACAATGTCTGTATGGCAGAGTTTTATCCATGTAATCTTGTTCAAAATTTTAACATGAAAATTGCTTTAATTGCATTTATACCTGAATATATTCTGACCAGCAGCCTCTCACTGCAGAATAACATGTCTGAGAGCACTTTAAAGACTGCTCTGAAATAAACTAGAGCCATTAAAAACAAAAKTAAAAATGTCTAGTCTGCATTCTATGCTTGTTGTTTTGTTAATGAAGAGCAAGGCTTTTTTATTCTTGTTTATAAAGAACATMATTTTTTTTCAAAGCATTTTGCTTCTGAAGCTAATCAAAATTCTGCTATTTTAATTTTGATTGCAAGTGAAAAACAAGCTCAGGACAAGGTTTGAAGAAAATGATGAAGAGCCCAATGCATCTGACCACTAAACATCTAAAATCCCAATAAAATTAAAGATCCACAAAATGCCCTGAAAGGAGCCGTCCTGAACTGGACTGACTCCAAACATCCATCAAGTTCTTTTTTTTTTTTTTCAGTCATTCATGAGATATTTTGGTGACAGACAGACACAGAAACACACAGACACCTACTATGTCTCTCTATCCTTATGGGGACTTTCTATTGATTTCCAATAATTTTTTCGTAATTTTATATCCTAACCCTGACCATTTACCCTAAAGCTAACCTCACAGGTACCTACCTGACCCTAAAACTAACCTAAACTCAATTCACACCTTGGTCCTAAATCGAACTCTCACACCCCAAATCAGCCTCCGAAGTTGTGGGCCKGGGCTTTGGGCCCCACAAGGGGCATCCGGTCCCCACAAGGCTGTATTTTCCTCAAATCTGGGCCCCACAATGAAGAAAAAACAAGGCCACACACACAAAGACTTTAGGCCTCCACACACTCCATACTCTTATAGTCGCAGTTGCATGACAAAACCAGACTTTTCGTATTTGTAGACAAATAACATCAGGCATCAGAGTGGTTTTTTTCTTTTTTGTTTCCTGAGTGTAGACTCCAGCAGGAAGAAAACCCATGTGGTGATGTATACCGGTGGTTCCCAAACTTTTTATCTTCTGATCCACAAAATATCCATGGCAAAAACTTGTGACCCCAAATATACACAAGTATATTACACYAACTTCATTAATAACCCTAAAAACACAGGCTTTTTGACAATCTAAACAGCTTGTACACAAATATAAATACTTATTTTGTGTTTTTGTAATAGTTATAAGGAAAATATTACATCAGCAATTATTTTATTACCCTTTCAATTGATTTCTGGAGATTATCCAAGGTGCTTCGTGACCCATAATTGGGTCCCAAGCCCAACTTTGGGAACCAAAGTGCAGTGGTTCCCAAACTTTTRAGCTTTTAACCCACAAAATAACAGTAGCAGAGACCTGTACCCCCAACTATTTTTGGATGATAAACATTTGTATCAGGTCAACAAAACATGGYCAAAGTAACAATATTTTTATACTACATTTATCCATTTTAAATACACTAAACTCACTCATTTATAACAAATAAGGCAAAAATCTCATTAATTCAGAAAATCTTTTCAGGACCCCACCTTGATGTTTCGGGACCCCACTTTGGGTCCCGACCCCAACTTTGGGAAACACTGATGTAAACCGCAGTAGGCGGGGTTTCCCAGGAGCTTGGCGCAGTGTTTCAGATGCTATGAAAGGTGTGTGTGTGAAAACAAACGTGAAATAACCACGTGACCGCGCAGCTTCAAATAGAGCATAATGAGCTCTTCAGTCTGTCTTTGCCAACAGGCAGCAACTATGAAACCAACAAAACCAAAAGCATTTATTGCTGTTTTAACCCAGAAACAACAAGAACACAACAGTGCGGCCTGTTGGGTCAACAATGAATTGAACGTTAAGATTTGAGGCTCGGAAAAGAAGATTTAATACAAACAAAAACTGAAACTTAAATCAAGCTTTTTCACTATTTTACAAAAAGAAACAAGTAAAAAAAGCAATAAAATCATTTTATGTTCGATAAGTTTGAACCTTACCTTCAGAAACTCCAGAAAAGCTGGTTTGGACATGCAGGCCTTTTTAATAAGAGCCATGGCGTTGGTAAAGTTGTTCACATAATCACTGTACACATCCAACACCATGGACTTCGAAAACTGCAAGAAAACACACACAAATATTACACGGCTGCACAGTGATCCATTATGTCATATAATTCCCTCTGATACAAATTTTTTAGAGCATTTTAATGGGAAAAAAATAGAAGCAAGAAATTGATATGTAAATTCCTACAGTGAATGAAAAACYATTTGTTTGCTATTCTGGTTGTTAAAAAAGGTAAACAACTGGCCCTCATGAGTCATTTGGGAAGTTGGACAAAGAGGGATGAGTTGGAAAAGAGTGTCGGAGTGGAGGTGTGCGAGCCTGTTGTGCGGTAAATATTTATTATCTTCCCTCAATAACACCTACGCCGGCCAGCTGATAGCGAAAATGCGAGGAGTAATGGGAAACTGGCAACYTACACGAAGGAATTAACCCTCTTTTTCTCTGTTTCCCCCCAGGACCCTTCCTGCTCAGATAATACTGCGAGCTCTGCAGGTACAGACTCACTAGGAGACTGTGCACAGGCCCAGTATTTTTATTGTCAAATGCAGCTTCATTTGATTTTACAGTAGGTTTTAAGGTATTAATATAACAGCAGTATAATAGTTAACAGAGAGCACAGTCTAACAAGCTCCTCTAATAGGCAAATAATGAGCAGACCTTATGAATGAGCCCAATGCACAGGCTCACAAAAGGGAACCTGAAATGAACCGAATATAATTTCTAAAAAAAAAAATGTGACAACATCTATATTCCTGAGAGCTCCGGGTGCAGAGGAGATATTTATCATATCTGTAATTGATTCCTTGTTTGGGGTAAACTATCCCTGTTTGCTCATCAGAACTGTGCTAACACAGACTGCTGTATGGGGTTTGATAGAAAAGGCAGCGGAAATTATGATTGCATCTTAACAAAATCCAAGTCTTTGATTGCATTCAGACACAAGGAGAAAAAAACAAACACTAACATTTGCGATTGCATACACATCTACTCACATACTCTATATAAGACATTTTTCCATTTTCAATTCTTTTTAATGGATCCAGTATAAATGGGCCGTACTAACCGAGGCCACAAATAAGTCTCCGATTTTCTCGTTGCTGTCCCACTCTGCCACACGAGACGCCAGAGCGATCTGAAACATGGAGTGGCACTGCGTAATCTCTCTGATTCGGTAGAAAATGGGTCGGATCTTCCTTGGACTCAGAATGCGGGGGTCTCCCTCCATCAATGGTTTGTGGTATTCCTGATGAGATTGGGACAAAAGTGTGTTTTGGTCAATATTCATCAGATGAATCATACACAACAGGGGTGTAACGATACGRGTTTATAAAGTGTGACGGTTGGGTACAAACATTTGGGACGGGTACAGAGTATTAGATGGTGAATACATTAGTCACAGGTGAACACCGGGCCCAGAGCGGGCGCATGTTTTATTTATCTACATTTTGTTAACTGGCATGACAGAAAAGAAGCAAAGGAAGATACTATCTAGACACGCTGCAAACAAAAAAATTAATGGCTCARAATACCATGCAGAAGCTTAAAGAGCTGCCTGTTCACGTTGTTGTTGTCTGTTTTGTCTTATGTACCGAGCKGTGACAACCATCACAGCCACGATATGTTCAAAACTCTCAAAAGTAATCATTATAAAAATAAAACTGTTGAATATTTAAACACAACCATCCAACCGTTTAAAGGGAATACATGCAAAATCCACTTTTTTTTAGCCGATAAATGCATTCTGTTGTGGACTTGGAGTCTCTAGAAGTGCAGAAAAGTTGAATTTAGTCTCTCCTGGTGCTGCATACTTATCTTTACATTGTGTTTGGGTCATACACTGCCTGACCACCACAGAATATGTCACACTCTCTAATATGTCCTTGGACCACCTTTAGCTTTGGTTACTGCACATACTCGCTGTGGCATTGTTTCGGTAAGCTTCCTAGACCTGACCAACTGCAGCAACCCCAGATCATATACTGTCCCCACAGGCTTGTATAGTAGGAGCATGATGGGTACAACCTCCAAGACGAGGTTCCTCACTAACCTTCCAGTTATTAGTTTTTGTGATCTCCTTAGATGTTTTCTCTGCTTGATGCCAATGATTTGACCCTTCTCAAAAGGACTGACATCTTTTCCACGACCACTGGATGTGTCTTTCTACATGGTTGTTCAAGAAATTAGAAGCAACTCATTGCACCAGTTGGGCTTAATAACTTCTTCAATAACAAAAATTTGAAAATTGAACAAGTTGACAACGGCATGTAGTCGAAACGCGTCCTGTTTTCTGCCCTTTTTAAAAACATGGTAWTTTTGGAGTGCTGGTTATCCCATTTTTTATCTTAAATAATTTGTTGCCAGGTGAATCATAATTGCCCAGTAATTATCCAGGAGGAGGCTTGTACCTATTTGCTTAGTTAAATCCATTTTTTGACAGGCAGTGTATTTTTCAATATGTCTCTATTTTCTATGATGTTTTTCTGAACTGTTACATCTGTATTTGCGATGGAACTGCCAAATAAGGTCTGAGCTTATCAGCTACAATTTTCTTTCATTCTCCTCTGGCTCTGCGTCAGACTCGATAAGGCTGGATGGACAAGTCTTCCCTTGTTGACATCTTTTACTAAATTTGTAGTCGTAATATGTAGTCGAAAACCCCCTCTATCCAGCTACAATCAGTGTTGTATAAAGTACCTCAAAGTGACACTTGAGTAAAAGTACAAGTATCTTACCATAAAAATACTTTGGTAAAAGTTAAAGTCTTCTCTAAAAATATTACTTGAGTAAAAGTCTTAAAGTATCTGATTGTTTTTGTACTTTGTACGGTAAGTATCACAAGTAAATTTCTGACACAAAATCTACTTAAGTATTAAAAGTAAAAGTACTGAGTAAAAGTGAGCAGTTAGATTTTCCAAAATGGTATTTATTGGGAGGTGACTTCTCCAAAAAATATTTTTTCTAATGGCGTGCAGCTGTGWTGGGTTGTGTACAAGCTAATACAGTGTCAGAATGGTATATATTTATACTTCTCATCCAACCACAATTAAATTCACTCTATCCAGGAGACAATTTATCAGGATGGTATTTATTTTAAGTAATAACAACTTTCTACTTCTTACCTTTTTAGAATATGTAGTGAGTAGAAAGTACAGATAATTGCGTAAAAATGTAACGAGTAAAAGTAAAAAGTACACTGAAAAAAAAATACTCAAGTAAAGTACAATTAACCAAATTTTTTACTTAAGTACAGTAACAAAGTATTTGTACTTAGTTACTTTACAACTCTGGCTACAATGATAGCTTGAAAGCTGAAAGCTTGGGGGGTGTTGCACAAGAGTTACAAAAAGAAGGAATTCAGACCAGAGCATTGCAGTTCCACTTTATACTTTATACTCAACTGAACAATTGAAATGTGAAAAAGYAGCATTTAAAAGCAGGATACGTCTACTTTAAATTCATTGTGGGCATTAAAACAATCAGAAAGCAGAACACAAACATGCAGCCGTAATATGTTTCAAGTCTYGAAACAGAACACTCACTACTTGGCTGGACTCTGTTTACCTTTTTCTTTTTTCTTCTTCTTCTTTAAAAGAACTGAACCTCAGGAAGTAACATGCTCATTAATGTCACTTGACAACAAAGCAGCTCATTGAATCCTGACAATGAAAGATTTTGCAGCGCACAAGGCAGCCATTGATCGCGGTTAATTCCATTTCAGTAGGTGCTCCTCTTATTTTTCTGTGATGATGAGATAAGAGGTCTCCTTTTCCCTTCTAACAAGACAGATTAAAGAGGAGAGGCTGCACCCCATCCTGTGCAAACCTGACAGCCTCTCCTTCTTGCCATCAGCATGATGCCATAAAAAAAAAGAAAAAGAAAGAAGGAAGGCACGGCTGTTTTATCAGGATTATTTATGCAGAGGCACCTTGATAATTTGATGGATATCGCTGCTTCTCTTTCCACTGTGATTCATATTGGGTAAACTGTGAAGATATTGCATGTGGCAGAGGACGACAAGGGGACTAAGTGGCTCACCTGCAAGATCCTCCTGAGAGACTCCAGGTAGCTCCGCTCGCTCTGAATGATGGAGCCCAGGATATGGCGCCTGACAACCTGCGCAGACAACAGATCAGTCAGGAAATCTGGCTCTAAGAGGACATGATTGGGCTGCGCTATGCGGCGTGCTTTCAGTTAAGCGCGGCACAGGTTGATGGATTACACCATAATCACACGTTAGTCACAAGAGAAAAAGACTCGGAGAGGAGTCGGGTCTGTTTGAACGAGGCCTCCGTCGGAGAGCTGAGCAACCGGATGGGCTATGACAGGAAAGCAGCTGCTCTGATATAAAACACGTGCTTTTCCAAACRGGATAACGAGTTTAAAGCAAATAGATATTAACAGTTACTGGAGTACAAATGACTGCTCTAACAGCCTAAAGTCTAATCCTGAGGCTATTGACCATAGAATATGTTTCAGTGAAGGAAKACCAAAAGAAAACATTGACAGTGAACACAGTTCGATGGATCTTTAGGCTCCTGTGCTTATTTGTGTGTGGGTGTGTGTGTTCCAAGGTCCCATGTGATTTGTGCTGACTGGAGCTGGAGGCAGCTGGCCAGAGTTTCTGGAATAAACTATTTAAATTCAGCCTCTTCCTGGAATCTCCTCTTCCTTTTGTCTCCCCGTAGAACATCTCGGGAATTGTGTTTTCCCTTCCTATGGTCCTGCTTGAAAATTGGACTCGGACAGAATATTGGTAYTATTAACTAAACAATGAGCAGCATGCAAGAACATGTTKGTATTCTTATCCTAKTTTTTTCTTACCTTTGTTCGTACGAACATGTCACATCAGATTCAACAAACTCTTCTATCTTTAGGAAAAGTGTGTAAATGAGCTGCGTAAACTGATGAATGCGTATCAGGTGCTCGTGCCCGAGGAGAGATTAGCATAATTACCACCCCAAAAACACCATATAAGGATATACGTTTCCTGCCCCACATACCAG